CGTTGTTATTTTTCAATAAGTTGTATGCAATAATTTATTTGGTATGTATAACAAAACATTGTACAACCCAATGCGAAGTTTTAAAGTTGCTGCCCTGAACCAAGAAAGCTATTAGAATCTCCCATGGTCATATAAAATTGAATGTACATTGATATATCTAAAATCACTTTCGAATCGTCATTTACCTCCCAATGATCTAAATTCAAATTTTGTTCTAATGGGAAGACCTAAATCCACTTTTTGCCTTTTGTAGATGTAAAAATGATATAATCTAAATCTACCTTTTGCCTTTTGAGGATTATTTTCCACCGAAAAAATACAATTTACATTTTCCTTTTGATCTCTCTATTGAAGAGGTCCCCACCTAGTTTGGAGATCTAAATTACAATTTTATATATTTTACACTACGATTGAAGATGTTCTTAAAATCGATTGTAGCAACTCCATTTTGGAAGACCGAATTTTAAACAGTTGATAAAACTACCGAAATGAAATTATACATTTAGAATAGTCCTAAGAAGAATAATTTCAAGCCGATAACCCGCCCCCTCTTGATCAATCAAACCCCTAAGATTTGGCATGTTCGAAAAAGGGAAGTATACAATTTTTTGAATGTAAATGATGATTTCTATATGGATGATCTTTTTAGCACAATTTGTCTCTCATTTTTTCTACATGCTCATTTTCAACCACATATTCACACAATAAAATATTTTACACGTAAACCCAAATTTTTTTCCTACCTTTTAATCACACATTCTCCAAAATTCACTATTTAAGACAATATTTAAAAAAAAAAAAAACAACCAAACAAGAAGCCTTCATTTGATAGGTTGAACATCCCGCGGCGATGGACAAGGGCAGAGACATAGCTGTTCAACCTTTGGCAATTTTAAGCTGCCGGGTTGATGACCTTTTAGACCATATTTTGTTATGAAATTTACAGTAAGTATATCTTCAATTAATCGATGATCTTGCGTTCAAATTTCATAGATAACCATTAAAATTTGATGGTTCAAGTAATTTTTCTGAAAAATAGCTAACACGACCGTCAGATTTTTAGCGAGTTCATTCTGCACTTTTTAAGAGTTGATGTTTAACCCCAAGCCTCAGCCCGACTCTCAAACGGCAATGTTAAATCCAATCGCATTATTGGCTGACTACTAATAAGCAGTATTGAATTCAAAAAACGAAGATAAAATTCGTGTTTATTATAATGTCCAATCTTATCCTGTACCGCATATTAAACACTAAACGTTCTCAGTTGAGACAATGAAACATTTAAAATTCTGCATTATCAGCAAACTTCACTCTCTCAGTACAGCGGTAGGAGAGAGAGAGAGAGAGAGAGAGAGAGAGAGCCAAATTAACATAGTATGTAGTTGAGAAACACCTAATTGACCAGTACACGCAGTGATAAACTAACCATAAGATGATAAGAAAAAGGTTTCATGTAGGCTAGCTGACATCAAATTTTCAGCAAAGCCAACATAACAAATTTGTTATTGTTCATTCATATTTTCCTTAGCAGGGAACGACCGAAGACGGGAAGAAGGTCGTGATTTTATCAATGGTATCACTCTTTCAAATTCAGTTTTTCGAATCACAAGAAACTGAAACTAGCAAACATACCACAGGATTGAAAACTGAACAAGTGAATATCAAGTGTTCCTACTGTTTCTTTCCGTTTTATACCTTCTCTCCCAAGTACTAAACTGTAACATTCACTGTAGACAAAGCCCATGTTCGAGCTTCAGTTTTTCAAAATTCATTTTTCTTCAAACTCATTTTCAACTACACATTCTCCCAATAAAATAATTTTACACGTAAACACATAACTTTTACGGACTTTTTAACCACACATCTTCAAAAAAGTCACAATTACAAAATCTATTTTCTCAAAAAAGGGGCTCAAACGAACTCTAAGTGTGTTTGATTGATATAGAAAATATATCTCAAAAAAAAAGGTATTTTCCTTGTTTTGTGGAAAACAAAAAACCTACTCCTCCAAAGAAAATGTTTTCCTTTAAAAAAAGGAAAATTATGCATGTCTTTAAAAGTTGAAAAATATTTTCCATGAAAAAAATAGCAGTCAAAGTAGAAATTTGGGAGGAAAACTGACATTTTCCATGAAAAATAAATGCAATCACACAAGTGAATAACACATATAATGGACAGTAAATGTGGATAACATGATTAGTAGAAATCTAAAGCAAGAAAACAATTTTAATCTTTACTCTCATAACAACAATATGTATAATTCAATATGTATAATTTATACAAACAAAGAATCAATCAACATTCAGGTTATGTCCATATTCATAATGAATTCATATATCAAACTTTGGAATTGGCAAATTTATCACCTGATGCTGCCATATGGTTACATCTTCTATCCCTATAATCCCAATTTCTTCCACATTATCTTCTGTTTGACTCTCGAAATGATATCAACGACCAGAGCAGGCTGACTAGTTTGCGACTCTGCATATTAGAATGAATCCAGCAGCTGCTCCAGCTCTTGTTCAGATCATTTAGGCACCAATTATAGTTAGAAAGCAGTTATGCACAGCTGTTAAATTAGTTAGTTAGTTCGATTGTTAGATACAGACTTCACCCTATTTATAATCCATCTTTGTACTGTGAATTGATTTAATAATATCAGAATATTCTTATTCATCTTCTTTATCGTCTCTTCTTCAATACTGCACAATGCAGTCAACTGGAAACAAGCAATGGAGAAATATGACAGAAAACTGAAGTGGCTGCAGGGGTACATACATGAAAAGTTTGGTACAAGACTAATTTGAACAAGATTTTAACTCCTTTCTGCTGCAAAATCTACAATGTTGTTCTTGCAATATCATCAAAATCGAGCCGTTTTTGGAGCTTCCCAGATGAAATCTGCTAAAAAAGCCATCGATCAGTTCGTTATCAATTCATATACATCTATCCAACTAAAGCAACACATAATGATACCAGACTTAGAAAATAGTCCAAACATATAATACACAAGATGGAAAAGATAAGAAACAACAAAATTCAGAGAATATAACTTGTGGATACACTTAGTTGAATTAAAGCAAATCACAAGTTGTGCAGTAAATTGTAATCTCTCAAACTATACACTGTTGAATTCAAAAGGCTATGATGCAACCCTAAAATCGCTAAGTTGAGTCTTGACTTGTGAATTTATAGAAACTTCTCTCTCCTTATAAGTCAGTTCAAATTACAAGCAAAAATGACAAAAAAGAGAGCAAGCATTTAACAAATAACAACAAAATTACAGTGAGGTTAAAGAACTCAAGAACACATAAAAGAACATTCAACTATTTAACATCCAATTTAGAAATGATAATTGACCTTAGAAATAATGTCCACTATATGTCTTCCACTCTGAAGATCCGGTTCCTGACCCACCAAGCAATCCCTCGGAGTTTCAAAAGAAGACAACGAAAATTTCTTAGAAACAACACCCACATCAAAACAAATCAACCCGGAGCTCGAAATATCGACCCGAATTCCCTTAACCTGAAACCATAAGAACAAATCCTGTGCAGAAATCCCGGACATTCCATCGATCTGTCCGTAACGCAAGATGCCCGAAATGTTCCGATCGTAGTGCAATTCAGTTTCAAACTTGGAATGGCAAGATCGATCCAAATGAACCTCGAATTTTCCAGAAGTTTCTTCCAGTGTAAAGTTTGTAACGCCTTTTGGAAGTAAGCCCATCGGCAGGCCGTGTTGTTCAAGCACTTCGTATATAGAAGATGTTTCCGATGATACTACTGATAACAAAAGTATGAAGAAAAATTGGCGAACAGGAATCATGGCGGATATATAAAATATATGGATTGTGCCTCGTGGGATGTGTTTTTTTGGGTTCAAAAGATGAAATTACAATTTGGATTTAGGGGTTGAAGAGGGAATATGGGAGTATAAAAAGAGTTTGATTTTGTGGAGGAGACGAAGGTGAAGATGATGCCCTATGATGGCAGCAAGAATGCAGGCAGAATTACGAGAAGAATGATCAATTATTGGTGGTGGATTGGGTCGCGATGTTGAAGTTTGAGGGTTTGAGGCTTTGAGCATCTTCTGAAGCCCTAGCTAGTGGAATCTATATTTTTTTTTTTTTATTGAATTATGCTTGTACATTCTATCTTGGTGTCTAGGTTAACATCTTGCCCCCTTGTCGAAAATTTAATCATTGATTTGTTGGAGATATTACACCGATAATGTGCATATTATATTAATCAAGAACATACAGTGAAATCGAAATATCATTCGATTTATCGAAATCTGATTTGTGAAGACAAAATAGTGATTACCGACTTCCAATATATGAATATGGATTCATCACTTTTCAATCTTGAACGCGTGTCATTCTGTAATTCAAACATTGCATGAAATCAAAAGAATATTAGTTACTCTTCGAAATCATAATACTAAATTAGAATGAAATTAGAAAAGAAAGATGAGATGCAAGTGATGCGATCGGTCGAAGCAAGTGTTTGACACTTTATCCTTAAGATGAATTTGCCCCGCATCGGTGCTAACAGTTTCTCGGCAATCATCTCCCCATGTGTTTGGATTAACAACAAGAAATAGGAACAATTCAATTAATAGTTCCATATCATTCAATTCCATATTTTACTTTAGTTCTGCATAAACCACTTTATAGAAGTGATTATTTCTTGTATCAAAATCATGGTTATGGTAGAGAGGGAACTCCGTTCGAGTTCGTTGGTCTAAGTCATTTGGAGTGTTCCTATGGCTTGACGTGGTCGTTGTATCTTGGGAGATGATTGCCGGAGAAACCGTTAGCACCGATGCGGGGCAAACTCATCTTAAGGACAAAGTGTCAAACACTTGNGAATTCATATTCATATATTGGAAGTTGGTAGTCACTATTTTGTCTTCACAAATCAAATTTTGGTAAATCGAATGATATTTCGATTTCATGGTATGTTCTTGATTAATATAATATGCACATTATCAGTATAATATCTCCTACATGATTTTTATTTTTTATTAGGGATAGGGTAAGGATTTTAGTGACATGCTATACAAAAAAGTGGGAGTTTTGCTACATAAATATAGTGCTTGACACAGGGGATGACATAACACTCACTTATAGGGGAGGTCGGCATTATTTAATTCAGGTCGGGACCCACATGTAATGTGAGAGGTCGATCAACCCCTTATGTCGAGCATTATATTCATTTAGTTTAATTCTAAAAGTGGAGTTAATGTTCTATTGCTGATTACATTTTGAAGGGTAGCCATTTGTGCACTAATTTATTACATTATGGTTGGCATTTGCTGGATTGTCAACAAATAATTGGTTGAAAGCTTTTGTTTTTTAAATTGTTCAATTGAATAATATCATGCGGCAAAGTGTAAACCATGATATACACCAAGCATGATTGAATTTTAAAATGTTACCAGATAATCATTAAAATTTAACATGTCACACTACATCACTTAATCATCATATTTCAGTCACTTTATATATTCATCGCACTTCTGAACATTAAAATGTTTTCGAGTGGTCAAACTCAATGAATTATTTTGTACTTTGAAAAAATTGAATTAGAATAAAATAGAGAAGTTAAATTCCAAGTAAAAAAAATTGCAATACTCTACAAGTCTTTTCAAAACAGTGGTGACTATTAAAACAACATTTCAAAAACGAACAAAAAACTCTATATGTGTCTATTAAGGTTGATTAATAGACATTTATTACAGAAATACATACACTCAAGAATTTGATTAATTACAATTTGAACTAAAAATTTAAATAAATTTTGTATGAAAAAGATATATGTGAATTATGGACTCACCTGCACCCGTGCTCGAGCTCGAGCCGATCGGACAGTTGCGACACCGCACGTGTGGACTTAGGACTGGACCCAATAAAATTTAAGCACACTCTCCTAAAGGCTAAAGGTCCAAACCCAATTGCCAATTTGTTAGGGGACTTTCAAATAAAAAGTCTAGTCAAAACGAGTATTACTTTAAAAAGCCTCTTCAATGTTTTAGTTAAAATGCTTAAAAATACCAAAAAAAAAAAGGGAAAATACAATATGTAAATAATTAAAATATCATTGTATATAAAAAGATATAGTTGCCCTCAATATCATTTCATATTCCCATTCATTCCCAAATCAATTTTCTTCTTGGTTGGAGAGATAGACCATAGCTTAGTTCCCAAGTTTTTTTGCTCATCGTCATCATCTTCTCTCCTTTATGAAGAAATCCTAAAATTTTCATGGACCAATTTGTTTACCTTTCAAACACTCTTAAATCGACCCAACCTATATCCTATATAAAACCCTATTCGTGTGAAATCCTCTCCCTACTTCGAAACATAAGTTGCGAACTCTTCTCTCTGGCTATTTGGCGACCACAAATCTCTTCTCTCTTTTGAACAAAGGTCTAAGTTTCTCTTTTGAAGCTTATCACTTATGCTGGTGATTCTTTGGGAAAACTTGGGCGAAATTGACTGTACATTGCTCGTACAGTCGTACTTATGTGCTTGTGTTGGTTTCAGATAATGACTGCCCTTGAACCTTTATTATTGAATCACTAAGGCTAAGTCCTTCAATCGAGATCTCATTGATCTAATTTGCCAGTCAGTAATTTATGTTTTACAGATTGTTATTGTTTAATAATCAAAAAAGTGAAAATTTGCACCATGTGACGTGAAGCTAAATTGGAATGAAATTTTAACATTTTAGCCCAGTCTTCTCTCTTATTATCTATTGAGCAAATATCATGGGTAACATATGGGTGATTTGTCTGTAGATAAACATATCAACTAATAAGTATAAATAATATAAACAATATAATTCAACAATAAGAAGAGAGTTAGAATGCAAGCATTAGGAAGTGACGTTGAGGATATTGTCTCGAAGTTGTGTTGCCTCCCTTTCGTGCAGGTACTTTCGGTACTTCATGACTTCAAAATAAAACTCATATAGCTCACAGTTGGTTCTCCTTCTATGGACACGATCACAGAGAAATAAAGAACGAGTCTTTATCAAGTTGTCAAAATCATATGAAAATAATATGAAATATATATATAGTATTTTATCAAGTTGTGTCTGCATCTTATTTTTCAAGCAATGAAATCACTCCCTTTTACATGGACAAATTCAACCCCCACACTTATGAAAATTAAATACTTTAAAAATGTATGTTACACTAGAATATTATTAATTTAATTTTGTATTAAATTGAAATTAAAATAGAAACAATAAATTAAAAAGGTATTAATCTGAAATTTTAAAACTTAAATTATTTATTTTCCAACATTATCTCAAGAAACGAGACCGTATATTTAGTTTTATTATGCCCAGTTTTTCGTTTTGTCTGGTATATTTTCGCTTTGAGTTAAAAATAAATAAACAAATAAATAAAATTATATATTCAATTTACTAGAATAGAGGTAAAGGAATCAGGTAGAATTTTACACGCGTACGCTATCCGTTTTTAAATTTTTTTTTAAATTGTTTTGTAACAGGAATACAGTGAGTGTGGTTTGATACTACTTCAACTTCGAGCAACGGCAATAATGGTTGGTTTGTTCGAAAAAGTTGCATTTGAAATGGCAGATTGGCAACAAACTAACTAGATTGAAGATACCTACTACCAGTCATCTCTCTGAAAGCAATCATTGACAGGCAGGCGATATTTCTTCAAATCAATGACATTGAACTTCAAGCACAATTTCACTCCATTAATGAGAATTCCCACATGTCCAATAGAAATGCTGAGCGGCCATAAATCACCAGCAATGGGAAGGAGGAGGGGGCAGATGTTACAGGGTGGGTTGAAAGTGCCGCAAGGGTGTGTTGCAAAAATGCAAAACTAGCATCTCTATGCATCCATCCCTGTCCACAATCCCATTAACTACTAGGAGCTTAGAATAGGCCAAATGTTGTAATGAACGTTGACTTCTTGAATTTTCATCTGTTCCATCTGTCACCAATTTCCACTTCATGATCGAATCACTAAAATTGATATCATCCCGTAAGTACTCAATGATATATTCATTTGTCTGAGCAAAAACTATTCTACGGGATTATTTAACCTAATAAAATTTCGAGAAAATATGGACATTGTGTATTGAAAGTAATTTGTGACCACAAAATTTAACTCTTAGAAGCAGATCAATCTAAACAAGAATATGTTAAAGTTCAGTGAATTCAAATTATTCTCATACGGTAAATTTCATTCAACTATCCAGAACATGTAGTTAAGTTTCAGGGCATTCCAGAACCGTGTGAATCCCACATGTCAGAGAGAGGCAGGGGTAGAGTGGGAGGGGAGGAAGAAGGAAACTACTGACAGAATGAAAAATCTGACCCCAAAAGCAAGTTACACAACTAAATTCAAGTATTCAGTTGATCAGATTTTACTTTTCGGAAGGACTAGTCCTTCCAGAAATGCACAACCTACATACTTCTATATTTTTCTTCAGCTTCATCCCAATGATTTAACCCAAATGGCTTGGTTAGGTACTGCAATTCAAAAGGATTTGAGGTAAATTACCTCAAATGAGATTGAGGTTACTTAAATCGGATGGGCCTTCTCAAGTTTCTGTAGTTTCAGCATATCAAAACAAATTAATTCATCTCACCTAGATTCTGATTTCGAGTTCATTTTCAGTTCCTGTACTTTAAAGGTTCTAGATTTCACTAGTCTTCTGGTTCCGCCTCTTTATGAAACTTGAGGTCCCTTGCTCAAGCATCTCCTTCCACAGCATAAAACCAATTACAGAGATGATTGCGTTGTACTAAACACTGTTCACTTAATCAGAACTCAAGCTCCACATACAAATACCATAAATTTGCATTTTGCCAATTCAAACTGGACTTGGTACCAAGCTTCTCGGTTGCAAAGATGAGAATTTTAATTTAAGCAATACCATTACGGCTGGAACTCAATCGATCACAAGGCTGCAAAAATTTTCTTCTAAATCATGTGACAAATGATATATATGAATAGCCAATGTGGATCCCACTGGAATCTTTAGAAACATATTAAAAAATGAGTAATAGCTAACAGGTTAGTTCATAAAACATGCACAAATCTAGCTAACACGAGAATCTAGCATTCTCACATAGCTCCATCAGCTTAATAGCTCAATCGACTGAATCCGTAGACCAGAGTTGAGCGCATTTCAAAATAATCACCTGATGGAAAACCAAATTGATATAGGATTATTGTAAAAGCCTCAGAATGGTAAACAACACATGTAGTATTAGTTGCACAACAAGATATGATAATACTATAGGAACTCTTGAAGGCAAGAACGGGGCTCCCCGAGAACATTTCATAGCAGTAAGTGAATCACAAAATAATAAAAGAGAAGATGTAGGGACTTCTACAGTCCATTACATACGTCGTCCTCAGTACGAGAGGTCAAGTCCAATGCTGTGATAAGCTTTCTTTCAGGCCCTGGAATGAAGCATTATTGTCAAAAACTGAGCACAGGGTAGAAGAACCTCACACGACTATAGCCAAGTCAAGATGAACCATTTGATGTGTAGGGGCTACGCTTTGGGAAGGAAGGACTGAACTGGAATTTCAAGCCATGTGAATTGCTGTAGTTGTCCAAGTGCAAACAGTTAACAGATGTAGGTAGTCTAAATTCTATCAGCTTCAGCGAGAGGGAAGAAAAATGCAGAGATGGGTAGGGGACTGAAAATAAATCATTTGGTAAGGGACTGGAATAGAATCTCAAGTCATATGAGTTGCTATGGTACTTTGTCCAAGTACAAATAATTGACAAGATGCCTAAAATCCATTGGCTTCAAAAGAGGTACAGTTTGTAAGTCATTAACCTGAATTTATCATTTGGGGAAAATTGGTCTCTAATAGATGGAATGATCCTATATTCCTAGTGATTCTGATAAAGGATTTACAAATATTTCATTATTAGAGTCCATACAGTTTAAGGAATATGCAAGTGGATCGATGTGCACACGTGTCCTGAAAACTCAAAGCTTAAAACATCTGGCAAAGAGTGTAATGCTCAAATAAAAGGACAACTACTTTACAGTAGATTTTGCTAGCACAATCAATGATCTCATTTCAATGATGGATTAATTGGCCTGTTAGAAGGACATCCAGCAAGTCAGTTTCCACTTTCCACATCAAATTGGTAAAACCTTTCAGCAAACAATTTTCATATTTTGCTCCTAAAAACAACAGAGCCATCAGTTCTCCAGCTATCCTAAAGATGGTAGCAGGAACTATTTAGAGTTTGCACAACTATTTAGGGCATTTCAGAGAACTCTAGTCCTGGACAAACAACAGATTATGCCATCAAGATGTTCACATAACATCTTGCATCAAAGGACTAGTTCGAACAAAACAACAAAATCCTATTAAGACCTCTCAAAGTGGGGCTTCACGCCAACACAAGCAATTTAAGACACATCAAAGGTAAAGATAAAAATATTTATTTCATGCAAACCTTATCAAAGGACAAAGAAAGGCCAAAAAAACTGCAAATGACAAACCTACATCTCGACAACTGCAGCATTGCTGCTAACGTGGGGCCACAACACAGACCACCAGCATACCATAAATCATCAAAAATCCAATTTCTCGAATTTAATTCAAGAACACAACCATTTTGCAGCAACGATCAAATTAACCATCAAAGTATTCAACATTGCCCAGCATCGAATGCATTTTGTCCACATTATTCAGATAAACGTTAAAACTGACCGCGCATTGACAGCTCTCGGGATTAGATATTACGGAATGTCCCACGGCTTGGGCTCGGGCACGGCGACCACCATACCTTGCAGCTCCGGAGTGAGAACGACCTGGCAACCGAGCCTCGAGTGCTTATTCATGACCCTAGAACGAGAATTCCTCTTCAATACATACTGCTCGTCATAAGTAGGAGGGGGCAGCTTCTCAAGCCACTCCTGGGCGATGTGGACCTCGCATTCGGCCGAGCACGCGTCGATCTCTTCAAGCCGGTGGGAAGCCGGGTCGATTAAACCCCGATTGGTCAAGGCCTTCAGGAGGGTTTGACCCGATAGCGCCACTACCTGGCGCTTGATGCCATCCGGATCCACTGCAAAGAGCTTGACGAGTCGATCGGAGACTTTGGCTGAAGTAGCGGTGGCGGAGGAGGCGGAGAAGCGAGCAATTACAGCGCGAGAGGATAGGGCAAAAGAGGGATGTTTCGTAATTTGGGAAGCGAGTTTTTGCAGGGAGGAAATCGCCATCGTTGTACGGAGAGGGAGGGAGGGACGGACGGTTGGGGAATATAAACACCGTTACACCGGTGACTAGAGTAGGAAAATTTAGGCCAAAGTTGAGGGAGTGAATTGTTTAAAACATGAATGAACTTATATCATCGTCACGAACTGTTCATTCTACTTCACAGTACTCACTCAACTCTGTCATTTACCTCTCCATCCACCACTGTCAAAAAATTTGTTTGTTGGGCGCTGACGTGGGGGACGAAATTTCTAGGTGGCGTCTAACGGTCGTTGAAAAATTACAAATCAGCAAAATCATTGTTTCATCACTCATCCAACTTACATTATGTCACAGTTTACTCACCGAACTTCAAAATGCTTCTCAATGGTCACTCATCTTTAAGAATTGCGCTCCATCCATTATTCGTCATATTTTATTCACTTCGTTGCTAATTTATTGTCCTAAAATTTCACGAGTAATTAAAATCATAAAAAAAATTATAACTCAATCAAACCATCAACACATGGAAATCACCATATGATCAATTGAATACAATTAAAAGTAAAATCGGTGAAATATTGATGAGTGTAATCACCTCATTAAATATGCACTCTCAAATTTTAATTTTTAGTTTGATCTTGAGTACTTTTGAACGTTTTGATGCGTGTTTTGATATTGTTTTGTAGCTAGACAAATTGAATCAAAATGGAGTGATTTGAAGCTTGGAATGGAGTGACGATGATGATCATAGATGAATGCATGGTTTGAAGAAGAAAGAATGAAGAACGTAGTGGAAAAGAAGAAAACAAAGAAAAAAAAATTAAAAGGAGCTGAAAAGAGCTGGCGCCCGGAAAGAATTCAAGAGAAACGTTTTTTTTAAGAAACCCGGCCCATTTCGACTGGATTTCGACCTACAACCTAAAAGAACTATAAATACACTTTTTGAAGACCTAAATAGGGTTCTTTGGACGGCTAGAAGGAGAAGAAAACATTAGGGCAAAGTTCTTGAAGAAATCCATCGAAAAAGAGACGATTGACACATTTTGAAGAAGAAATCAAGCGGCAAATAATAGTTTTTCTAAACTCTTGTCTCCTTAATCATGTTTTTCGTGTTAAATTCTATTTTGTCAATTGTAATCATTATGAACTAATACTTTAGATCTACGGTTTGATGTAATCGACTTGAGACATATTTTAATTTCTAATTATCTAGCTCTTTTGGAATTGTCCATCAATTTATTTATATAGTTTATGTTTAATGCTTTCAATTACTTGACCACTAGTTGAATGATTTGATGTATGAATTTCGGCACTCGAGAGAGAGAAATTTAGGCGTGCTCATAAAACTACATAACCTATATTTCGTAGATTTCGAGAGAAAGTACGGATTTTTTAGACTTGTTTGATTTAAGAACTACGTGCATTATAATTTTTACATATTTAATTCAGAATAGAATTACATTATGGTTCTTCCCTATAAATTGAGATAAATCTGATTGAGTTAGTATGTTTAGGTTGAAAAATATTGTCGATAGAACGATGAAATCATTCCCTAGAATTTCATAATTTGATAATTTCGTGGAATTTTGCACTTGTTTACTCACCAACGTTAAGTTAAAGTTACTAGTTAAAATCACACCACCATCACAATTGTTTGTCCAAATAAAGTGGAAACTACACAATTATAGTATTCAATAGAAATCATATATCAATCCATGTGGGTTCGACAATCTTCACTTCACCATTATATTACAAAACTAGACACCATACACTTAAGGTATAATTCACGTCATAGAAAACGCGTGACAAATATAGTCAAAATATTTTCACAAATCAAGTTAAGTTTCCGATTTTCAGTTTTAAATTGAAACATATTTTTCACACAATAAACGTTTGAACTATAAAAGTGATATTTCTAAAGAATAATTGAGGATACTTTATTGGATTTTAAAAAAGTAAAATCGGTCGTGGAACTCATGTTTCACACATAGTGATTTTAGTAAATTGATAGTTTCATTGAGTTGTGATTTTTCTAACATTTGTAATTTATTATGTGAATTTTCTATGCGAACATTAGCAACGAAGTGAACGAAATATGTCGGATAATGGATGGAGTGCAATATCTCAAAGATGAGTGACCACTAGAAAGCATTTTGAAGTTCGATGAATAAACTGTGACTTATAGTAAGTTGGATGAGAGATGAAACAATGATTTTGCTGATTTGTAATTTTTTAACGAACATCGACGCCACCTAGAAATTCTGTCCGCCACATCAGCGCCCAACAAATAGATTTTTTTACAGTGGTGGATGAAGAGATAAATGACAAAGTTGAGTGAGTACTGTGAAACAGAATGAAGTTCGGTGAGCAGTCCGTAACGATGGTATACGTTCAGTGATTTTTGAAACAATTCGCTCAAGTTGAGGCCGTGTGTTTTATATATATTTTTCTTTTTGAAGCACCAACAAATTCCAAATGTGAGAAATAATAGTCATGGATGAGTGATTGAAATTAATATAATTATAAGTTAGCGGTCAAAGGTTAAATGATATCAGCGTATGACGTTGAATCTTATTTAAATCAGACTAACAAACTCATACAATAATAATACGGACAACAATATAAAATGAATATTCTTTATTGCAAAATGACAAATCTAATATTGTAGTGAGAACCTAAGAACAATATTGTCACCGAGTTCCCAATTTTACTTTTGGTGTTGATTCTCCATTCGAGTCACATGATAGACCATGACAATACGAATAATGATCTTTTTCGAGTGCATAGGGTCGTGTGAATCTTTAAAGAATTTTGTGGCATTCTGAAGATAATTTTGTGACCAATGCCTTGAGTTCTTCAAAAGTCATATTTATTTTGTTGATTTTTGCACATTAGTTCTCTATGTGCCATTCATTCAAGGTTCGTTCTGAATATTTGCCCCAAGACTGTGTTGGTCTTGAAAGATGGAATTGTCCCCAAGATTGTTGAAAACAATCATCATTATGCAAATTTAGGGGATGAGTAGTTTAAAATTTCGAGTTCGACTAATGTTTTCTACGTAAGCATCAATATCTCAATTCCGTTTTGCATAATCTAGGGAGGAGTTGCTCTCATGGAGCATCGTCCTCTATGTCTGGCCAAATTTGCAAGGGAGTTTTTCAATTTATTTTTGTCAAGCATTTATACAACTAGCAAGCATTATAAGATTACAGAGACACGATTTTGGATCGATGCAATATTACCTATAATTAAGGATTGAGAAGAAAGATGGTGAATAATCCAATATTAATATTATTTCATTGAAAAATGTTTGGTTAAAAATGAGAAAGAGAAATAATGAGGACTAAACAAGAGCTGTATATATAGCTTAAGAATTAGGTCAAAATTCATGCCCCAAGTGCTTTTAAGAAGATGTTGAATCAAACAAGGAAGCAAAATCTTTCATGTAGGAATTGCATTGTGCAATCGCGAGGTAGAAATACTGGCGATCCCACATGCAGAGTTTTGTGCCTGCAAGTACTACATTTTTGTTCCTTGCGATTGCAACCTTGTGGTCGTAATGCACAGCTTTTTCCAATTGTTCATTTTGGTCCCCAATTTCTCCTTTTGTTTAGCTTGAGTTCATTCTTAATTTCATCTTATGTCCTTTATCTTTAATCTTAATATATTATCCTCCATATTCATCAATCATCCGTAATTAATTGGATGTACGTTTCAAAAGTTAGCAATTAATTTTTCAAACTTTCTAAATATTGGATTTTAGCTTCCGAAACTTGTGATTTCTATTAATTGCTCTCTTAATTCTTCCAATTCATCATATGTGGGGGTTGGGTAAAGATAAACTGCTATTTTATTTTATTTCTTTTCATTTTTTATTGAATTATTTTATGTTACCATTTTGCTCTTTTTATATTTGGAAGTCAATTTTTTGAGTCAATCAATGATCAAATGGATGGAATCCATCCATCTTTCCTTCTGCTAAACGAAATGAAAAGTTTAGGACTGTGGGTGTCATAAACTAAATATCTGAGTAAACTCTGCAACAAAATGAAAGATTTAGGATCGCGACTGCAATTCTCCCTTAAGTCAACATCGAATAAATTTCCAGGAATAAAGTTTTATATTTATATTCTATTTATTGAAGAAATTTTGGTCAGTAATTTGAATTTAATGAAATATTTCTCTTTTAAATTAAAAACAGAAAAATTCCCTTCGTGTTAAATATTTTTATTAGATTTATGATTTAACTACCGACAACATTTTATGAAAGCAATAAATTAAGGGATCCGTTATTTACATCCACAATTATTATATATCCATTCAACTCTATGTCTATCCATATTAAAATATTAAAATTTCTTTAAAATATTATTTTTATCCACGTCACATTTCAATATTATCCTTATTAAATTCATTCTTTTAAATACTAAAGATCCCCATAAATTTCATATGTTTATCCCTCTAAATATAAGACCAATATAATTTCAAAATTTTAAAAAATCACTATATTCATTCGCATTACAGATAACATCAAGATGGTATTCTCCTGTGTAATTCCAATATACATGAGTTCAAAGATTATACAAATTGTATTCAAAGTAATAAATTTCTTTGATATTTTCTTAACGATATCTCTTTCATTATTTACTAAATTCTTGTCTATTGAAGTTCTGAGTATTGAAGTGCTTGAACATATTCAATTAAAATTTTCTAGTCTCTATGGATTCGTGAGTTTGTTTAAAGAGGTGTGACATAAAATTCATTGAGTTTTTGATTTGGATTTACTGAATTTGGTTCTCATAAAATTCATAAAAATTGGGTTTACTGAATTGGGTTCTGGTAAAATTCAATTTTGGGTGAAAATAGCTTAAAGATTTGATGGAATAGTTTGATTTCAACGTCACGAGAAAAGATTGTGAAATTTAAATGATTTTGGGCATGACCTGAGTTGGGACATTAATTGATATATATCAGAAAGTGAGGTGCATTCAATCTCTTTGAAAGTTAACAAAATATAATTAAG